ATTTAATGTCCATGCTTCGCTTTCTAAAAATAAAGAGATGCCATTTATAGCCAATGATTGAGCCTTCTTTTCTTTGTTGTTTGTTGAACTAATTGTCATGAAAATCTATGACCATAACAAGACAGTGATGAACAATCAAATATTCTGTTAAATATCTCCTTGCATTATATTGAAACGTCAAATGCAAAAAGCAAATTGTGAACTATGTTTTCTAGAAGTAAATTAATTCTTCACTTTTATTTCATTTATAAACTAAATTTCTTTTTTCTATTCTTATGTGATGTCGAGGAACTACTGGGATTTATCTAAGCCAGCGGATTTCTCTGGATTTATGCGTTGTCAGCATATAATACATTTTACTTGCACGAAAACAGCGCCATTGTAGATAGTGGGATTGACAGAAAGACTCCGATTAATATTAGAGTCCCAAAAAAATAAATCTTACAAGCTGCTAACAGCCTCTTGTCCTTCACTGGATGCTTGAAGATCAAAATCAGTGAATGTGCGCTAGTTTTTTACGATTATCTCACAAAAAAGGGAAACTTGAATTTTCTTAACAACGATACACAATGTATAAAAAAACTCAAGGCATAGTTTTCAAAGATTGCGTTTCCACTATTCTAATTCAGTGAGAACATGGATCTTTCCTCTTTAGATTGCAAACTGGGTAGATTTACAGTAGCGACTCACACTTACCCAGAAGAATCATTCCGATCGTCGGAAACAACTATAAAACGGCGAATTACTGCATTAATTTTGGCCTTATTTCGTCGTTTTATAGTCGCTTCAGGCCATTTGCGACGCCCTTTTATTGAACCTGGGTAGGTGAGTGATCACACTATGTTCTGAATAACGTCTAACTATACTCTACTATCGAGAACCTCTTGTAATCAAAACACTAACAGAGTAATAAGCAGCTTATATGTGAGCTCTTTCATTCTAGATTAAGTCAATATCTGATATAGCTTAAGATTAGCAGTTTCAACGATCCTTATCAATATTGATAATTCTTTCCAAATACACTAACCATAAGCAGAATCCACGAGACTCCGGGAATTGGAAGGAATCGGTTTCACTAGATTTTATGAAATTTCATACTAAGATGGCGCAGAATTTTTGAAAGTCTTTTCGCCCCTGAACAAGAGTTACTGAAGGATTTTTCTTTATGGAAATGTAAACTCCATATCACCATCAAGGGCCTTATTCTTCACCGAAATCATTGGTTTCAAAGACACGACTCACTTCATCGTGATAATTACTGTTTCTATGGAACACGCAAATAATAAAAAAGTAAAAGAAGAGGGAAAAATAAACGGGGAACCAGTAAGATATGCGATTGGTGAGCTTCAGTGAGTTTCAGCAAGAGAAACACAGCTGAGGTAACTAACAAAATCCAAACTCAACGATTGCAAGCAAGCTTGCCGATACTTCAATAAGGATAGCTGATTTTTTTGGCGATTTTAATCAGCTGTCTCGCTCTTGACAAAGAAACTGATTTTTTTCTTAAATAGTGTACTTTAACCTTTAAACAGCAATATACTGATATAAAATTCTAATGCTCAAAATATTCTCTCGATTCATGGTTTGCTGGTGGAGATAGCGCATATCAACTTTTCACTACATTATTGGGTACGAAAAATGAGTACGCTATTGCCCTCAAAAAAACCCATGAATGAAGCATTTAGATTTGACTGTTGTACCATTGAATAGAGCTCACTATTCTTTTGTTGACCAAGAGGATTTCATAGTCAGTCTAATAGGCTTCATGTATCTTACTGAAAAATCCATGAAAAACGAACCACATCCTATTATATTTAAGTGAATTTCTTATCCAAATCACCTATTCTAACAGAAATTAAGGGACTACCTTGACATTTTTTCTCTTGGAGTTTCTGTGTTTCCTTCAATCGGCTAGGTGGATCAAAAAATAGTTTAAAAACCTAGAAAAATGAACTAGCACATTCGACTAAGAGGCATGCCCTGATCATCATCATCATCATCATCATCAAGTAGAAAATTTCAATTGTAAATGTATTCCAAAACATGTTCTCTACCACATATATCCTTTTTGTACGTGTGTACTCGGTTGTCTTGTGATTCCTGATATAGTTCTTTTGGTTCCATGCAATGTTGGTGTCCGACATCTCTGAATTCATAAAAAATTTGTCCAAAATATTTTGAAAGGAAGTCTGATTTTTTAGAAGTTTTATGGCTTTTTCCATTTATATAGGGAGTCTAAAAATATTTCAAATATATAGCTTCATAGGGCAAATTTTTCTTTTTCGTCGCATTTATTGCCAACTGCGAAAATATCGAAAAGGAATTCGGGCCGAAGTATGGCCTTAATTGGTCAGATTCTTTGTTGTCCATATACACGACTACATTATAATCACAAAAGCGACACGTATTTGAAGTTGAAACTATGTGTAGGGTGTAGGCGTGCGGTCGGTAAAGCTGAGGTAGAAGATCTTCACCCACACGCTCACTCTCATCTTCACATACATGTACCCATCATTTCACAACCGAGCTCTGCTGATACCATTAGTGAAAGACACAAGAAATTCGATTGGAGCCACTTCAATGAATACAGTCGTTTGCTGACTTTCACCCCAGGAACGTTGTGCTCTAATCAAATTATTGCGTTCTGATCATGTAATAGATGTGAAAAACAACTTCATTATTCATCTGGCATTCTAGTTAGACCTAACAACTCACAGCTCGTTCAATCGACTATAACTTTCTGTCCGAAGGATGCGATCAGTCGCAAGTCACCACAGAAAAACAATACTATGCATGTTCGACATATGTGCATGCTAGTCGGCAATATTCACACACGAAGGATATATTTGCGACACTCGAGACTCCACGAAAACTGTTGCGTTGAACGGTGTTGCAGGATGCGAATGATGACAATGGTAATAAATGGATGCTAATGGGTACCTAAGGTTAAGCTCATAATATCAAATATTAAGGCAATAACGGAGTTATGTGCAGGTTTGCAAAAAAAGAAATTATGGAAAGTTTCTTCATCGAATAAAACTCATGGCATGGCAGAGAAATAATTTTGGAAAATTTATAAATTGCGGAACCAACAAAAGTTTTAGAAACCAATTTTTTTATTTTCTGTTTTCAAATCTACTCATTTCTGAAACGTGGGTGAATGTGGATGTGTAGATGTTAGTATGGGTGAGGAGATGAATTACATCCACACCCACTCATAAATCATAAGAATATATTGAGAATTCTAGAAGCTCCAGAGAAATTATATCCACAATAGTATGAGGGTCAATGGGTGCCAGTGACGAAAAGTATCTCATTCTGCATTCATACATCCACTCCCTGCAGAATCGACGCAAAGTTGGCAATGTTCATTGAGCACCATACATTTATTTCTGTCACTAGAGGTTTTTCTTTTTGTTGGATACTAACTAACATCAATTTTGAGCAACAGTATAGGGTGCCGATTTGCAGCTTCAGATAATGATGTCGAAAGCACTCCAGGCAACCAATATTGATTCTGATTGATATAATTGGCGAGCGTGGTATATTTGTGTTTGATTATGATTTTTTCCGCACATCCAAATCAAACACAATCAAAACTCTCACTTTCTTCGCAGTAATCCTTCAAGTATTTTTTGACAACAGTCATATTCATATGAATTCAGTCTATAGTGTGTGTGAAAATATTCATCGACATTGTCTCTAGATATCTATGAAGATTGATTAAAGATCATTGTTTATTCATGTAGCATACTTATTTAGTCTTTTATTATGAGCCATCTGAACTATAAGGAAGGCAGAAGATAGACTCCTTCAATCATTTGATTCTAATGAAAAAGCGCTCAGCGCACTTCTTATGGAATTTAAATTTGAAACATGGTAGAGCCGTTTTAATTGTCAATGAGAGCCCGCATCACATGTTTCACAAGGCATTTCTGTGCGACACAGCGTCATCGACTCGAACGTTCGAACTGGTAGTGGCGGCCACGTCATTCGTCTTATATAAAGTCCGCCCCTGCTCAATCACTCATCTATACCTACACTTATCTTCTCCCACATATGTAAGTTGAGACAAACAAATGAATAACAACGATTACAGCTTAAATCAACAGATAGCATGCTCATTTTCAATGACGCTCCACAAATCAAGTACTCTTAAATAATAATTTTGAGTGTTTGGTGTGAGGATAAAGTCTTATCAGAGATCAATAAATACACAGTATAATCCATTCTGCTTCAAGACACACACAATCATGTTACGATTAGCAACTTTTTTCTTACTTATATGTATTGGTCATTCTAAAGGATCACTACCGTCAGCTCAACAATATGTTGATCTAATGCTAGCAAATGAACCTGATAAATTGGCTGCCCTTGATGATTATTCGCTACTTTCAAACTTGTTTGATTACTACCAAATTCAGCAGCATCCCCGTCGTCCTATGTCCAGATCGGATGACGAGAAAGACGTGAGGATGAAAAATTTTAAAGAAGCTTTAAAATTCATCACTGAAACGAATTTGGACGAAACCAATACATTCAAATTGAGTTTGAATGAATTCAGCGATTGGACACATGGTGAACTTCGTCATCATACAGGTCTAATTTCAGACAATAACGAACATATTATGTCACGCTTGGATATGGATATAGACCCGGTAGCGGATGCTGAGGCGTTCTATCCTTTGAAAAATCCAAGTGATGATTCATGGGATTGGACAGAACATGCAATCGTCAGTCCAGCAAAAAATCAAGGTCAATGTGCAAGTTGCTATGCATTCGCGTTTGTCGGCGTACTAGAATCGAATTATGCAATTCGACATAAAGCATTGTTTAATATGAGTGAGCAGGAGTTCGTTGACTGCGCAGCAACATTAGGCTGTAAAGGCGGTAATTTCATCCCATGCTACAACTATGTGAAGGCCAAGAATTGGCGTACTCAACAAGCAACCCACTATCCGTATACGGCCACCAATGGTCAGTGTCAATTACACCATTCCATGCCAGTTCATATCAGTGAAAAGTTATACAAGCGTGTACCAATAAACGATGAAGTTGCACTCAAAATACTTTTACGTAAATATGGACCTATCTTCATTACATTCAATGTTGGCAATCAAAACAGTGCATTATCACTTCAAAGAGATATATCGAAAATATTTAATTCATACTCGTCGGGCATTTTCGACGTACCTGGTTGCAATGAGAAACCACTACAAAATCATGCTATGCTTTTAGTCGGCTACGGACGTGATCAAAACACTGGTTTAGATTATTGGAAAGTGAAAAATTCATGGGGTACTCGATGGGGAGAGAATGGGTTTGTTCGTGTAAGAAGAGGTGTGAACATGGGTGGAATTGCAACAAGTGCCTATTATATTGGATCGATTCCATCGTTCTAAATGAGACATTAACTTTAATCAAATGTTTCTCAAACCACGACTTTACTTTTAATAAAGTTCGCACAGACTATGTACTTTGAATTAATATTCCTAAGCAAACAAGTAGTGTTCATCGGAAGCCGATTCACTTGACCCTAGACTGAAAGATGACAGAATTCAATTGTAGTCGAAATGCTGCCTGAATGACCAAAAACTTTTAGCGTAATCGGCACTAGATTAAAATATGAAACGCGAGGAAGCTGTTTTACTTGTAAACGGAAGCTCTATCCACATTGAGTATTTTGTTCGTGAAGGCTAGATAGACGAATATATTGAAATGTTCGTCACAGTCAGTGATGCTAGGAAGCTTTATCCATTCTGTTGATGCGTGTGTCATGTGTGGAAAGCAAATGGGAAGGAGCGTAGTTCGCTTCTCTCGCTGTGGACTCCAACGCTCGTTCCCTATTGCGTTTCTCTAAAGAGGTGCCCTATAACTCTTGAGGCTATATCATATGGAGTATATAGGGTCATGACACGTCATTTTAGGGTGGTTGTGGCGTGTATTGCTTCTCTATAGCCACACTCACGTTCTCATTTCCGTAGCTACAAAGATTAGAGAAATCTCCTTTTTCTAAAGTTGTCTACACATTATGAAGATTCACATATTTCCTACTTAAGAAAGCAGAGAAATTTTGTTAAAAACATCTGTTAAATAATCAGACTTCCTAGAAATCTTAATAAAACATAAAATAGTTTCTAAATTTGATTTACAAAAGAGCATACTTTGAAGAGTAAAAGTCCTAAGGATCATGGTAAATGTGTAAACATCTACTCGTTTTATTTTGAAAAACTTAGTATACTCAGAAAGAAGTTTGAGTGGAAACTCTATGATCTAAGGAGTTTTCTAAAAAAATCTATCATTATGCTTTTAAAACGTACTGTACGAATTCACAGTTATCTAAAGAGAAACATGTGCAGAGCAATAACTTCTCATTTTTAGTGTCACGTTGTTAACACTCGTTTTTTTAATCGTAACTCATCTAAAAACGATCTATATATAAAGCTGAGACTTTCAGAGCATCTACAATAACTCAAGAAATACATCATATATATAAATAACCTCAACAGAAATTTAATGCTCAGAGACACAGGCATTTTTATTTTGAGAAGTCGTGTCACTAACAAATTAAGTGGCTCATGTAACGACAGTGAGTATTGATAAATCGGTAAAAACGGAATCTAAACATCCTTTATTGTTATAAACTTTGGGTTCAAACTGATCACTGACTAACAGAAAATAAAAATACAGATGCGTTTCTGATAAGACTTGGCCGAGTATTATGAATAGCTAACAATTATTCCACTGAAATATATTCATCTTAGTCTCTGAGGCAGAATTGTATTGAAAAGTGATTTAGTTATAATCATAGTTTTAGTGGAAAATGAATACTCTAAATCATTTCCTGAACAAAAAAATTAAGTACAGCTCTTCTCAACATAAGTATACTTTTGCTCAACCAGTTTTCTTTCCAAATATCTTGCATTATTTAAAATTTGTGCATCCTATCACTGTATCCGGGTATATCGCATTTGAGATCGTTGCATACTCCATTTCGAACTTTGTAAGATGATAGTCCTGTCTCCAAGTAGGTCGAAAATAGTTAAAGGCATCATGTTTAGGTGGCCCTTAACAAGTTACAGTTATGATGTCCAGGTTACCATTCGAAAATGATCACTTGACTGATTATAAAACATGGATTGAACAGTTGTGGAAAAGTATAGATTCGAGAAAAATGAACTTGATATTTCGAGTTTACACAATGTTGAGCTCACTTTCCTTGAATATTACACTTCTGATTTAACCTGTGAATGTTAACGGTTAGATGGCCGGTTTACAATTCAAATAAACAGTTCAGTGGTGTGTTAAACGTTAAAATGGACCCGATTCAATAACATTTCTCCTATAAATAAGTTTCCTCATCCAAAATGAGAGAATCTATCTCGTGACGAAATTGAACGGAGACATGTGATTTTGTTGAATATACTAAAATCTGGACATGGTAGTGGTTAAAGCGTATTTGAAACAATAATTTTAGTGTTTTTTTTAACCGAATTGGACCTAGCAAATAAACGATGTCTCGATATGAAGTTTATTTGTGGTTTCAAATAGGAAGAGTAGAGTCGAAATTTCAATAATTCTTCGTTTCTTTTTTAAGAGACATGCCATTCATTCCTATGCTGTTTCTTAGAAACATTTTTGCTATAAGGACTCCCTTTTCAAACCCCAGATCCACATCCAAAATTTTTAGTTCTATATCATGACATTTGAGGCGTATATTCACCAAACAAGGATCCAAAATAGCTCATTCCGCAACGCGAAATTCGCTGTAGGCTTTTATTGTATATATTTTATTTAGTTTTTGTTTGATAGAGCATGTCAGGCGGCAATGCCTACCAGAACCCATTCTCTTTTAATTCTTACGTTTTTTAGTGGAGAAAACGGATGTTATAAAAGTGCTATTTTATGTAATATTAACAAAGTTTGTTTAAAAATATTCGATGAAAAAAGTCTAAATTAAGAAAAAAACCAAAATCTTTGCCAGTTTTGTTTTCTGAAAATAATATATTTCTGAAGCAAATGTCGACAGAAAAAGGAGATAACAAATAAAAAAATCATGTCATTTTTGAAAGATGAGACTTCGGGCTATCTTCCCATGCATTTATCTTAATTTCCATTTTTCTGACGAAAATTGACTTTTTTTTTCGAGAGGTAGGCAGCCTTAAATACAACAGATTTCTGAACAACAAATATGATTGTCGACCTATTTAAGAGCAGAAGCCTTCGATATTATCAGGAAATATCTGTATCTATCTGAGATCAAATATTTATTCTATCAACCAACATTAAATGAGAAAATTAATTTTATACAAAGTTTTTATGATTTACTGTGTGTTGAAGCAAAAAAGTCAAAGACGAAATCGAAATATTTCGATGTCACTTCGATGATCAGGAAGAAGAGCTTGTATCATAGAATGATATGATTTGACTTTTTCTTCATGAATCTCACCATGAATATCGAGAAAAACAAGTTCTTTCATTTGTTTCACTAATTAACAAAGATCTTTAAAAATGGTCAAATGTTGCTCTAAAATAAGAAAGATTTTTTTTGTTTTGTTAATTTATTCTCTAATATAAATCTATATTATTTACATATTGATCGATTCAGACGTTTGAAGCAAATGAACATTCTTTGCCACATCATTTTTTTATACTTATGAATTAATATTTCAATTAGTTATATAAGAAATTAGCAACAATATTCTTATGAATAATGAGATTGACTTTAGTCGTTTAGATAAGTACTTGTAATGAACAAGACAAGTATTCATCTCAGAAGGACTACCAATTTCAATTCTGGTTTTTGGATCGGAATAGGTTGGAAATGATTTAGATGGGTCAGAATTGATCATGAAAAAAGTAGGACTAAATTATTAATTCTACAAGTGTCAATTCTGAGCAACTTCAAGAACTGGAATTGGTACATCTCTAAACTCACATCGAGATGATTGGAAATTGAAGATTCGTCAACACTCGCACCTTTGTGAATAATTTTTTTGTTTCAAGTCTACATAGTAAATATTCATGAAAAATCATATGGTTACCAAAGACGTAACATTTGTAAATAAGCTATATAAGTATTACAGGCACAATGTTTTTTGCCAATACGAATTGATTTATTTGAAGCATGATGATAACTAAGAATTATAAAATTAGCATATTGAACAATATTCAATGCATTTTTGCTTAGTTCATCAGATACCTAAAAGTAACTTTCATTATGTTCATATTTTACTTATAGAAAATAAAGAAAATGAAAAATTCCTCTTTCCAATAAAAACAAAATTTTCTTATTTCGATTCTCTCTTACTAATAGGAATGATGAAAATGAAAAATTTCTCCGCCTATGAAACATAATTTATTCTACTTAAAACACATTTCGACTGCTACAATGAAGAAAATTCAAATTTCATGTTGATGATGATAATAATTCGTCTTATTTCATTCATGTTCGTATTACTCAACTGACATTAACTGAAAATTGGCATTGAGAATCATCTAAATAATTTCTCTTTATTTGATCACATTTTGATCATTGAAAGAACGAATACAAATAAATTCGAAAAAATATTAAGACTATGCCCTCTTGTTTCGATAAAATTTTGATGACTGAAAAAATTATATTAAAAAATAAGCTCAAACAATAAAAAAAAAAATAAGTCTTAACTATATCGCTCATATTCTGTTCACTTGAAAAACGAAAATGAACAGTCCACTTTCAGCATTGGTTTAATCTCACGATCTTTAATCGTATTCTGAACATTTCAATGATAAAATAATGAAAATACATTCGAGAATAATACAATCAGGTCTATATCGATCATATTTTAATTTTTCACTAAATAAAAAGTGAAAAATCATGTTGATGGAAAGTAAAATCTCTCATATTACGGATAGATTTACATCATCGCATCAATCAAAATGAACAATCACGTTCAATATGTCGAACTGATGTAATATAAAAATCGTGTTAAAAATGAATATAATCTCTGCAATTTCGATCATCATATTTTAATGAATAAAATCAATAACTATACAACATTATGTTGTTGCAAAGTGTGAGTATGAAGAGATGATCTATTTTGTTTGATATTTTCTTTTGATAAGAGTTTTTTTTTCTTTATTATATGATATAAGTCTACTTCAACTTGTTTTACATAAACAAAAAACACAAGCTAAAATTAAATCAGATTTATCCTACAATTGTAGATTGTTTTGCTAATAAATCTCGAATTTCACATAATACTTTAACTTCTTCATTTGTTTCAAGTTGTATATTTTCTTCATTTTGTTTTTTTCGAGTTGCAATACGATGTAATTTATTAATACCTTTAATAACAAAGAACAATGCTAATGCCATAAGAAATAAAGATATTATTGTTTGAATAAATTTTCCATAACGAATAACAACAGGTGGTTGATCTTTGTAAACAAAATTTTTCATTTTAATTGTTAAATTAACAAAATCAACACCACCCAAAATAAGACCAAATGGAGGTGTAATAATATCATCGACAAGCGATTGAACTACATTCGCAAATGCTGTACCGATAATAATACCAATAGCTAGATCAACTACATTGCCTCGAAGAGCAAATCTATCTTATTCAGAAAAATATAAAATGAAAAAATAAAGTATGAATAAGGGAAGATGGATAATATGTTTCGCTCGCAAGTATGACCATCATATTAGATCCTTTTCTCATACAGTACAATATTTTTATAATCTTCTTTTGTTATACATGTCTCAAGCTATTCTTTTGTCGATCATTGATTCACTTGACAGTCGAAGTCAACACTCATGTCTTATATTTATCTTAGTTAATTGTTTTCTATACATTGATGTAATTACTATCTTCATAAGGTTACTTGTAATTAACTCTATTCTTCTTTTAGATTCAATCATGGATAGAAGTTTGAATAAAATTACAATACAATAAATAGAGTATGAATACATACATTCTGAATTCTTTACAAAAATTTCGACAGCATCGACAAACAGGAGCCATTTGATTGAATGTTAAGATTGTATGATGAGAATGTTAGGTTTTATTGCATAACTATGTAATGAATGATAAGGAAAGAAAAATAGTATGAAGAAAAGAATAATGTTCAATGTCAACTATTCAATATGATAAAGAATACAAATTATATTATGCAAGAAAACAGTCGTATATCTTTTATGTTGAGTGATTTTAGATACAGTATTTCGTCTTTGATAATAGAATGACAAAGAAATGTTCACTAAGATACGAAATTACAACAATAGTACTCATTTACGTAATATTGATTCAATTTTGTGTGTATGAATTCAGAGAAATCCGAAAAACAAATTACTTGTCTTGCTTGGTACGGGCATGTGTCTGTATGAATTTTTTTTTCATTCTCTTCCATTTGTCCATTTGTACGCCAAATTATATTTACTTTGTATATTGAATTTATCATACTTGAAAATTGGTCTAATGCAACATGAATATATAATATTTCACACTACTATAACCTAAAGTTCAATATTCTATAGATTACTTTTGATTCTATAAAAAAAAAGTTATGCAAATTTTCATTATGAAAACGATCATATTTATTAAAGATTTTAATTAATCTTCAAAAAAACGAAACAAAAAAAGCATATTACTTTTATCTATTATAATTGCTTTGACGAAAAACTTACGAATGATTGTTGCGTTAAGAAATCTCGAATTTCATGTAATACTTAAATTTCTTACGTTAGTTACTTCATTTTCAGAATTACTTTCGGTTTTTTTCTTTATTGCTAAGCGTTATCTTATGTAATTGATTAATAACTTGATTTACAAAAAAAAATGCTAACGCTACAATTGATAGAGAGATAATTGTTTTAATAAATTTCTCGTAACGAATAACAGTAGGTGGCTGATCTTTAGCAACAAAAGTTTTCATTTTAATTATTAAATTAACAAAATCAACATCAATCAAACTAGGACTCAATGGACACGTAATAATACCATTAATGAGTGATTGAACTACATTCGTAAATGTTGTATCAATAAGGGTGCGGATCAGTGTAGGAATTAAAAAAAGAAAAATTCTCAAACCGTTTAAATGCTAAATCTAATCAATTTAGACGACTAGTTGAACGTCAATCTGAATCAATGTCTGAATTTTCAAGTGATGTTTTAATAAGTAAAGACTAAAATAAAAATTGAACGTTATAGGTTTTTTTTTAAAATTTACTTGATCAAGTAAATAATGATCAACCGAAAATCACTTTAGCTAACTGGTAAAGTTCACCGGTTTTATTATTTTCATGATGATGAGTACTGTTTGATAATGTTGAAATCGATGATAACGATGAAGATACGTGTATGACCATCAATTGAACAAAGTATTCCAAGTTGTTCAGTTTCTTTAATTAGAAAAATTGTATTTAAATAAAAATAGAGATTGTGTCAGTGCAACTCATTGAGGACTATAATGTAGAGCTCACATATGTTCTTTAGTCTCATTATACTCCTCCAAAATACTTGAAGTGAAAAATTTCTACCAGACTATAAAGAAATTCATGAGAAATCAAATGTTATCCGTTTTGTTTTTAAAGTTAATATGATTTTCATTTTTTTTTCATCCTTGATTCTCTTTACTTCTTTCGGATGAGTTTCCTCCATCATTCCCCGAAAAGGGTGTGAGTATGGGTTTTGATCTAGAGAAAACTACTTCACTGTTGAATCTTATCACATCTAAAAACTTCTTCAATATTCGTTTTTTTATTTATACGCTTAAAGTCATAGAATATTTAACTATAATTCTTAGTTGCAGTTGGGACCACTGATTTTCTCACAGTTCTCGATAGAGCTCATTGAGTACAGGTCTGATCTCTCATAGCTGCTACTCTTAAAGTAAAAGTCTATAATGACCACATTCATGAATGATCACTATCAAGATGTCATGAGAAATATGAAATAAATTCTAATGAAAATATTATGAATAAGAATTCGGCAAACTTCCAAATTTTCGTCTAGCATATCCCTAAAACTTACACTCATTCTATTTTTCTTCGAAAAGGAAAACGTAATGTGAGTTTCACAAAAAAACAAAAACAGTCAATAATTTTATCATCAATTGTTAATGATTATGGATTAATATCAAATAAACTTTGAATATTCCCCAATTGAATAAGTGCACTATATTTTCATACCGAATGTTTTTCACATATATTCAAGACAATTGGAGAAAAGAAGCAGTTAAATGTGTTCGTATTGTTGTTAATTCTTGTGGAAATTCAATGACTTGAAGTTTTTCTATATAATCACGATATGCAACAAGTAACTCTGACTAAAATTTAACAACAACAAAACATACTTAATACCGTGGGAATCGTTTTCTTACTTGACAATTATCAATACTATTAATCCAATGAATCAATGAATAATTGATAATCAATATGTACTATTGATGTATATTTAAGTAAACGTTGAATAGGTCGCACCATTAAATGCAGCTAAATGTTGTTTACCTAATTGAGTTTTATGGTCATGAATCTATTCGAAATAATTTTTTATGTTTTACATTATCTATTCAATGATATAAAATTACCTTAAGATAAGCATAAAAACGAGCATTCATTTTTTTAAATCTAATGTATGAATCGCTTCCATTGTGTTAGCATAAAATTTTCTAAAATCTATTAGAAAAAAAAATAAAAGTTATATGAAAAATAATATTGTAATTGATTAAAAAAATAATTTATTCGAAAATGAAAGTAATGCTGTGTATAGATGAGTTAATGTAACGCAAGGAAATTAAACTAGTTCATCACTGTTGCAATCAAAATCCAATAACAGTGCCCGACACTTTAGTACGAGAAGATTTCCATCACAGTCTATGAAAACTGAAATACGTCAAAGGTATCAAACCTAGTTAAGCTCGATTATTTTTTTAATGGTTTTATTCGACTGATAAACAAGCAGAAAAAAATTTATGCATTCTTTTTGACAACTATTGTTTGATTGTTGAGAAGTCAGTTCGTATTTAGACTGTACATCGTATCGAACAATCAAACAATGTTTGTCGAAAAAGTACACATAGATTTTTTTCTGAAGTATATGATGAATAAAATCTTTGTAAAATATTGAGCCTGCTAGTACTCGATCATTTTGTGATGTTTTTTTTTTGCAAATCTAATTTTTGCTATAATACCAGTGTTCGAGTCTATGAACAACATAGAATATTATCAGAAATAACTTGACAGGCTCTGTCGAATCATGCCAAAGAAAAACTTTGAACTCGAATTTTGAGTAGCCAATGCGTTTTAAAAATTATTCTTGCTCACAGTACAAGAGATCGGTTGTCAGGAGTATATAATTATTATACTCAATATTATAAAAACTTCTTGGTGAGTAGTATATTAATTGACAAGGTTTACTTTACTAATTATTATTCTATGTCTTATTTAAGTCTTTTAACTAATAAAATATCTTCCATTGAATAATTATCTCGCTCCAATAATGTTTAATAACATGGTAGTTAACAATAATTTCGTTCGGTTTCTTTTAATTCCGTTCCAATTCAATACTAATTCTCTTTTTCTAATATTTTGTTGTTGTTCTATAATAAATAGGATTCTTTTTGATCTTTGGATTTGTAAATTCGAAAAAATTCATTCATCCCATTTTACCTATAACAATGTTGTCATCTAATACATTCTCATTTGCAGTACTCCTAAAATGTTTTGAATTTGATGTATTATTATTTTGTTCATTTATATATGATTATTTATCTTGACATTTTCATTTAATAGTCGTATTTTATGATAAACAAAGTAATAGAATGTCATTCGTTTCCGTTGTTACAAATTCACCTAGCAAAGATTTTTCTTACTTGTAGCAGGTTATTGACCGGAAAATTTTCCCATCGAAAATTTTGTCGATACTTCGATTTGTTCATCCTAAGAATATTGTAAAAGTTTAAATAATTAAAAACTTCCAATTTTTCCGGCAGTTTAAAAAATCGAATCCACTTTTGAATATTAAGTACCTTACTGAAGAAACAATTTTTTCAGCTGAAATATGTTCTACTTAATTTTTCAGCGAATATTCAATCTGTTGAAAATTCATAAAAACGATCGTAACTAGGCTTCAGAAGTGTACGGCAGTTCACGTGACGTAATCTTTTGTATTTTATATAACAAATAAAAATAATAAACAAATGACCAGATGTGAATGTTGTAATTGATTATCATTAATAAACGTAAACAAATAAAAATAAAATAAGATTCTATAATGGTTTAGCACGATATATTTAAATTTTTTTTTTCAAATAATATCTAAAGAATTTAAAAACAAATTGTTATATATGTTTCTGTTAGTAAGAAAATAGAAAATACTTTACAAGACATTTTTCACCGATACTTGTATGTGAAGCAATATGTGTTACTTGATCATGTTAATCTTTCCGAACAGATCCACCAAGATAATGAATAAAATCATTGAACTCCCTCTATATAAAAAGAAAAAAAACTATTCAACAAAACATATGACGATTGAACATAAATCTTGATTGCATGAAGGTCGATTTCTTCTTGATACAGAAATATTCTTAGAAAATTTAATTCTAAATTCTAATTTAAGATAAAAAAAAATGAACAAAAGTTTCTTTTTACAACTTTTTTTTTCTGCACATAATAATATAAGTTCAGAACTAATATTATATCATCATTTTCTTCTAAATATTAGAATTAACAATCATCAAATGAATTCACAATCGAAAGACATTAATGACGCTGAGATAATAAAATTTTTGTTCCAGTTAATGTACATATTATTGCTGTTCCTCATTAATACATTCATATCCCAAATAATCTTCAAGTGATGATTGGAATCTGTGTTTTTGAACAAGTACAACCACTGAAACAGCATATATATTTGCTTGAAATAAAAGTAAAAAATAAATCTCATTGAACTCAAAAGAAATGTATTAAAAGAAAAACAACATAACACATGACAACATAACTTACATATGAGTGTGCGTGTGTATCCGGCTACTCTGTACACATACTGAACATGTGAGAGAGAGAGAGAGAGAAAAAGAAAAACGGGTGTGGGTTTAAACAAAAACTTCAGACACCCACACCCGGGTAAGTCCTAAAAATCCGGCCAGGAACTATCTTGGCGTCCGTGGCACACGACCGAACCCCCAGACTCATTGACATATCTCTCGAGTGGGAGGGATATGAATGATTTTAGTCTGTCCCGTGCGTGCATGAACGTTACGCTCGCCACGGCTCCACCAGGATGGTTCCTGGTGACGCGCGCGAATAGAATAAGCCATTCATTTCATCAATTCAATGTGATTTATTTGAAACGAAGGAAACGCAAAAAAAAATAATCCATCGTTTTGAGTCTATTCGATTGTAAAGCGTTGAATACGATGATTCCCATTATCGACGACATAGAGATTGCCATGTCGATCGAAGGACAAACCGTCAGGACCCTTGAACTGATTTGCTCCTTCTCCGCAACCATTTCCACCTACAATGACAGTGCCCTGTTTCGCTCCTTTATGCCAACGCATCACTCGAAGATTCATGAAGTCTGCCACATAGATGGTACCCCATGTATCGACGAACAGTTTTTGAGGATACCACAATTGTGTCAGAGCATTCCCTGCGCCTTGACCTCCAGCGACGACAATTCCTTCTTTTGCACCTTTGTTCCATTTCATTACACGATGATTGTTCCAATCTGACACGTAGACAGTCTGTTGTTGATCGAGAAAGATGTATCTCGGCTCATTGAGTTGATCAAGACCAGCACCTTTGCCGTTGCCACCAGCCACTAGAGTTCCATTCTTGTCTCCTATTTGATATCGTTTTACTTCATCTTTGTCGGTGTCAGAGATGTAGAGATATCTCTGATCATCCACAGCCAATCCCCAACAATGGATGTTGTCGATGAGGATTTCTCCTTGAGTTGTGCCACTACGACGAGACCATCGTACCACTTGTCGTTTCCCCCAATCACAAATAATGAGACTATTCGTCTCTTGGTCGTTCAACACATCGACTGGATAATTCAATTCATCCAATCGATTTCCTCGACCATTGCCACCAACTACTACTTGTCCATTATTATCACCCATCTTCCATTGGATGATACGATGATTGTAGCAGTCAGCGATGACCATCGTTTGATCATCATCAACGAAGAGACCAAAAGGACGGTCGAGTTGATTGGTAGCATTGCCTTGTCCATGGCCTCCAGCAACGGTCACTCCATTCTGTGCCCATCGGGCATCGACTGGAATATTGGGAATTACTACAACGAACGAAAAAGAAAGAAATCGTCGTTGTTGAAGAAATCCGATCTCTCATGGGAACAGGCGCTACAAATACGACATGCGTCTTTGAGAATGCTCATTCCCCAGATAAAAATTCAGAAGTCTTTTGCTAGTTTCCTATAAAAAAGAAGGATTTGGTAACGATTTTTACATCTATGTCACTGTTAGTTTTTGCTAAGATCTTTTTGATAATAAAAACAACACCTGGAGATTGCTATAAGAAAGTCCTCTAAGAAAGAGTAATGCTGATTGTATGAAAGCTTTTAATAGAATAACATAGAGATCTGAGAGTGTTATTCGAAATTGCGAGAATGCAGCATCTTTGTATCGGATGATCATTTACATGAACATCAGACAAGAAGAATTATGTGAAACTCCTAAACTGAAAAAATCCTGAGAAGATTCTATTTGCATCTTGTTAGGAAGATGTTAAATCTAATCTCTGTTGTTGGAGAACTTTGAAGATGCTTTTCACGTCATAGGACAATTCAGACGGATCTATAGAATTTGATCTTCTTATATATAAAGAAGAATGTTTATCTGTCTGTCTGTTCTTTATGCATTTCCACACTGTACGAGCGAATGCAATCAAACTTCCTAGGAATTCTCCTCTCATCCAGGAGAAGATCAACACCTACTTTGTTTTCAAAAAGAATTGGTCCTTCGCTCGCAAAAAGTATGCCTATGTTGCTGACCAATCAGGTTACAGTATTTGGTACTATAGAAGTACTATTGAGTAGCACTTCGTGAACACACAGAAAACATGGAACCACAAGTTTTCGAGGGCGATGAGTTCGAATTAGGGATCCAATTACCTCAAAATCTTATTAGTTGGTCCAAAACCAATAGGAATCGAGTTTTTGAGGAAAACGAATATCATTGGATGACCCATGTCATACACAAATCCAGCTTTTGGGGAAGTCGATCTCTGCAGGTCGTGTGAGGCGGGAATTTCGAATAAATAGCCTATGATGCTGAAAATTTGTGCGTCATAGATATTGACTACTTAGATAACTAAAGGATCTGTCCCACAAAAATCTTTCTGTCTGTCTTCCTTTGCCACCAATCGGAATTCAGTGTGATTTCAGTAGTACAAAATGCGACGTTCTAGATCAATTAGGTGTGTCGTAGTGCTTAGTTTCGATCAAAGTGGATTTTTCTTGCAACGCTGTCGAAGAATCCATTGTCCATGTGTGCTCCTCACTAAAAACACAACTATACAGCTCTGGAACCGGGAACGTGATCAAGTGCGACCAGAGTCAGTCGGGATCGATCGAGATGAATATATGCTCTTATAAATGCTTGGCCACGATAAAAAGTCGATAGAACTCATAAGTTTCATCAAGCTCTTCTTGATCTAGACGTGTAAGGACGAAGAATCCTTCACTTCTGATCAATTTTTCAGTGTCAGTATTTCACATCCTCCAAGAGCGAGAGTAGCCGTGGCTGGGACTTAAAATACGTCCAAGAGCCATAACCAGGACCGTAACAAAGAATAGGGTTTTATGCGTGTCTACTCCCTACTGATTAGGTTTTCTGACATGTTCTCAAGCGCAATAGGAGTTTTGCTTGCATATATTAAGACTGAACTTTTCCGGGCAACGCTGGGTACTTTCGCTAGTGACTTATAATTTTGAAATGCTAAGAAGAGAAATACTAATCGAATCGGAGCTCTCCATAGGATAACATATGGATATGTAGATTTTATACGTAATTTAGAACGCGTGAATCTTAATTAGATAGTCAAAATTTGTTTTTGATAGATGCATAATTGAATTCTTTACAAACTTGTATTTACCTTCATTTAAAACAACATAGAAATCATATTTTGAACTTTGAGAAAAATAATATGTAAACGAAGTAAACAAATAGAAGAAGAAGAAGCAGGCATCAACTCGTACATGAGTAAAAACAAAAAAAAAAGTAGTCGGACAGTTTTGAGAACATCTTATTCTGTATGATTGTTAAAAAAATGACTTGCCAGTCTATAAATAATAAGTCTTCCATCAGGTGTTTCTGTATAAGTATAGGTAATTGAACGAAAGATTCTGCGTCTATATACGTTGAATTACTTTGAGAAGAACGAGCAAAAGCGAGTGATTTTTGAACATATTAAAATTTGTTCAGAAAAATACGCGTTTTTTTAAAGTCTTATCGGGCTGGTTTGTTACCATCTTATAATACATGACTTATTACTTTGATATTGCTCTGAAAGGGCGTATATCAAATGAAAAAAACTCAAAAGAATTTAAAATTTGATATAGGTTTTTATGTTAACAAAATTCAACTATAATAAGTCATTTGTTACATAATGATAAGAAGATAGACACAACTAAAAATTCATTTAATTAAATTTCAAGTAACACAGATCTCAGGAATAATTCAAAGAAAATCAAACGTTTAGTAACATATAAAGATATGCGATAAAGATTATTCTATGTTTAAGAATTTCATCGAACTATTGCGCGTCCTGTGAAAGTAATATATATAAATTGTTGCATAGATTTCGAACTATTTTGAGGTTTTTTACTGAATATATATAGTTCGACGGACAATAGAAAGAATATATATATTATATAACATGTAAATTATCATCCGAAATCGATTATACTTAATCGACATTCATTATCGTTCAATATCAAAGTAAAATAAATAACATAGTCGACATCAGTAATGTAATATCTCTGATTTGACGTATCTTTTTGTATTGATGTCAAATATACTATTCAATTTGGTCTAACATATAGCTAGGATGAAAAAAAATCAGCGAAATACACCAATTCATTTTTCAAAGTTTCCTATGATTTTATGATTGAAATCTAAAACAATCCATTTTCTCAATACTAAAAGAAAGTCGAAAAAACAAGTAACATAGAGGCATTTCAAGTTCGATGTTCAATGTTTCTAATGAGAGACGACATGTAGTTCGAACTCTTCGCATAGAAGAGAAACATATATTTACAAAAATACCTATGGACGTATACTTGTTTTCGTAAATGTCAAAATCCAACCCTTATTTTGAGTGGATATCTATACCTATCCGCTAGTTGAACGATCTTTCCCTAAAATTTATGATAGAATTACGTTGTCTGTCAACTGATCTATATAATAGTATAGAATGTATAATGTGTAGTCGGAATATAGGGTTTCATATAAGACAAACAAGCCAAAAAAAATTATTTAACATCATTGAAATCAGAAATGAAATGAATGAAATAGATCTTTTTCTATTATGTTCAAACATTTCAATTCATTTTCATTCCAATTATCAACAGGCAGGCTCAATAAAATTATGTTTATGAGATAAAATATGATATTTGACTACATTTGTGATAATGATCAAATTTCATACGATTTCATGTACGCCGAGTCTGGGTTTGTCGAACAAACGACTATAACTCATGATTGGCTAAAAAAGCTTACCACATCGGACTTGCAGAATTTATAAATCTTCAGTTAACGATTCTAGTGCACTCCTGAAAATTGACATGATAAAAGTTTTACATTAAACAATCTCTTGTGTCTAACAAACTTAATGGTAGACTTTAAGGAAACTTGTTAAAAAAATATTCAAAAAATTTTCACACTTCTTCTTTTTTGAAATGAATATTAGTCACAATATGGAAAATGTGACAGTTTAAAAGATCTTTCTACTCATGATATGATAATGAAAAATCCAATTTTTTTACAAGTCGGATAGAAATCATTTTTCAAACTCAGCGCAGGTCCACAGGGAAAATCAAGAGAATTTTCCTACCCACTGTAGACAGTGTTAAAAACTCAAACTCTTTATCTTTCTTTGTTTTATAGTTTTTCAAAAAATTGCCTAAGATCACTGGACTTCGCACAATAAGCATTTACTATCAATATGTTTATCAAACTGTTGACGTAAATGTCTATTTAAATAAGTGCCCAATTGTTGATCGAATTACCTGTGTATTGGACTATCCATCTCATTACGTATTTACCTATTTAAAAGTGACATACTTTTACCTCTCTATAGATCTAACTATCGATTTACATAAGGACTGTTCACACAATAATTCATAAATTTCACTTCAATTATCAGACTTTCTTTTCCATTGAGACACCATTAGAGCAATTATTTAGTATCTTATATAGGATAGAAATATTTATCAAATAACTATTGCAACTAAATCAAAGGTGGAGGAGTTGTATATTTCTGTGCTTCTTCATACTTCTCAATACTTCCACAAAACTCTTATTGCCAAGAAGTAAAATATGCAATGTAACTAATTTTTTTGAAACAATATGTACATATTGAATTCTTTAAAAAAATGAGTATGCAAATGACAAAAATAAAAATTATAATTGGAAACTATACATTAGTTCTCTATCTTGTTATTAATAATTTTTTTTACATTAAGATAATCGAAGAGAGAAAAGCTGTCAGATTGACACAAACAAGGTAAATAGGTTGAAAGGAAGAAAAAGCATAATTCGTATTTTGTGCCATTGCTGACACTTTATCATACTTCTTCGTATTTTTCTATTCTTCATCATACTTCTGGGCACTTCTTTCTTTGTTTTCTTAATTGTCTCTTCTACTCGATACGTTAGAAGCACATAAACCTTATATTCCACTCTTGGACTAGATGTATGCAGAATTTCTCAGACGATGAAAAATTTTGCTGCTACTGAAGAATAATTGGTTAAGTTGGTGACCTTTCCTTGTTAGTAGTTTTTCCCCACTCAATTTCGGTCAAAATTTTTGACAAAATTTTATGTCCTCCTATAAATACACTGTTCTATCAATTCAAATACTATTATCATACTTACTAGATGATGAAATGATTGAACTTTTATTTATATAGGATGTAAGAATTTGTGGATTTGAATTATTTGGTGATCGATCAAGTTCTTCTGATTTTTTTCTTTTAAATTGGTTTAAACCTGTATCGTTATATTTATTTTCTTGACGTATTCCAGATGATACAACAACTGAAAATTTGTTTATCAATGAGGTAGAATCTTGTTGAATTCTTATATTTGATGGTTGAGCAAGTTCTTCTGCTAGTTTTGTTAATTGTGTTTTAAATTCATCTAAGTTAATTTCATTAAATTCATCTTCTTGACGACTTTGTTTTAATTGTTCAGTAAATTGAGATAATTTTTGTTCTATTTTAATAAAATGTTTATTTTTATCTTCAGTTAATATTTGTCTACATTCTTCGGCTGTTTGTTTAATTTTCTTAATTGAATCTTCCTCCCATTTATCAATTTGTTGTATCA